TTCTCTTGGGTTAAACTTAGTTGACAGGCACAGGTTCACTAGGCACAAGACTCGAGGCGTAGGAGAGGGCGCTGCGCACGAGGTACTGAGGATGAACGCCTGGTGGGAACGCGGAGTGTCATGGTTCTTATCACGACTATCCAAAAAAGGGTGAAAGCATGCCTAAGCAGCCGTGGGGGGTCTAGTTGTCATAGTAACACAATTGTACAGGAATGGAGAGGGCTGGTGTTATTATTGACGCTGGCGTTGAGTTAGTCCGAGGAGACCTTTTAGTAGTCCTCGTTCACAACTGTAAAAGACGTGCAACGTTTTGGTAGATTTCCGTGTCTTGCCCGCATCCTATCTTGTCTGCGTTCCATCTTACGTATCTTGTTTATATCTTGTCGCCTGACATCTATCTTGTATACTCTCTCGCCCTGTAACACGAAGGGCTTTCTAGAGAAGTGGTAAAGGAGAAAGCGGGGAGTCGTTCTGGATAAAGTGGCCGGAGGTGACGGTAGGTCACTATGGTTGGCAGATGACGGGAGTGAGATATGATTAGAATTATCTATGTTATGGCTCAGTATGACTGCTACTCAGTATAATGACTTGTAGTTGTGGCCATACCACTGTGCCATAAACACTGGCCCGAACTGTGGAGGCCTTTTCACATCAGGCGCCGACATTTAGTGGAGTCACGCTAGGCTGTACAGTTGTACTTAGTTAGGTGTAAGATGTAGCTTTAGTTCTATAGTTTTGCAATCTGTATTATTAGTCCACAAGCTATTCTTGACCCCGTCCGTTCTGATATACTCTCGTGCAACATCGGCCAGTTCCCAATCTCGAAGACGGCTATCTCTTCACATACCAGCCGTAACAATCTAACTATTCCTAAAGACAGAAAACAGTCCTTGATGATCTCGGTCTGGGAAATGACAAGAACATAGCTGTCCTCGTTAAGCAATAAAGCCTAGTGGGACTAAACAAGGAACCCATGGATTCTGCCTAAGGCATTTACTCAGAAACCATACATTAGTCTTACCTAAGGTACGGGTATCTCGAGTTTTTTTTTTTTGCATCAGATTTTAATTGCGTATGCAGCTATCTAGCTATGACACAATATCAAAGAAAAGTACAAAACAGATGTTTCAACGTGATGGAAGAGCACTCATGCCTCAGATTCCATTTATAAGTACCACTGCGAAGTTATGGCAGCTTTTTCTTCACCCCAAGTCAACCCTCATCCGTGAATACCCACCCAGGGGAACGTCTCAAAAACCCTGAGTTATCCAGACATGCCTCCATCATCCATCAAATTTTCTCCGCGCGAAATGTAATCTGAGATGTCTCCTTCCCAAGTGGAGTAGGTGCCCAGGCTACTCAAACCATACCGGAGAACACAACCAGGTGGCGGACCATAACACCTTCCATCGTTTGCTTGTTTTTATAGTGTCAGCTGCACTCTCGCAAGCGAAGTCTTGGCGCGCACAAAGCCCAATTCGAAAAACTCCTTGCCAAAATTCAGAATTTCACGCCCGTCGAGGCTATATCCTTCCTTCGCATCTTCATGTCGACTTATCCTGATTCCTCTCACGCCCATCCCAAATAACTGTCTCTCAGATTTGTGCGCCACGCTTTGCCTCCTCCGTCGAGTATAAATATCGGCGTGGGCGTGTATTTGGCGGTCAACTGAGGCCAGAGAAGGTCGAAGAGTGGTGTGGTAGTCGGGATGAGGATGTACTTGGTCGTGCTTGTAGACTTGATGAGACGAAGATAGGAGCCAAACTCGTTGGGAGCGAAATAACGACATGGAGGAGTAATTTGGATTTTTGCCTCGTGGACCAACTTGTTCGGTATTGCGAAATTTGACTGAACTTGGCTCTGGGAGAATATTTCACTCCTAGGTTCGTAGAGGACACCGCGTACAGGTGTTCAGTCTTGCCCTCCGATATCTCGAGTTGCTAATCTGGATAGCTCATCGAATCACAATTGTTTCTGACGCATTCTGACTAGAATTGCACAAGCTTGATCCCTCTGGGGTGTTTGGCATGGCTCCTTCTCGGCTGTAAGCTTGACTGGCATTGGCAATTCTCTTGATCCCATACGGACTATGAATCTTGACACTAACTGACTACGAGCATGAATAGAATCCAGAGCCATCTAGTTTTAACACCAGCTTTTTAGATGATCTTTTGAGTTACAGGTCATCCTGAGTTATCACATGAGTTGTATTAGCTTTGAGCTGGTGCCCGGTTTTGGTCGCTTATACTACTGGCAATGATAGATTAGCTATCTGGATAAAATCTTCAAACTGAACCGTTTTTGTCGGTTACATGGCAGTGGGCCACTTCTTAACGCCCCGGACTACTATCAGAGTTGTGTTTGTGTGTTTGTGTTTATTGTGCTACTTGAGTCTATGACACTCTAGCACATTGGGCTCCTCTCTGACCCAGGCCACACCTTGTACAGTGCTCCTATCCTCTTTTGTTACTTGAAAGATCATTGATATATTCCCCTCGATGAATAGCCATTCAGCTCAGTATTTACCCGTGGAATTCAGCCACCTTTTCCACGGAACCTTCTACCCAAAAAAAATAAAAATGGTAGCAATGGAAACTGCGTGCGCGGGAAAAAGTCTCAAAAAACCTGCAGCCCCAGCCAGGCGGTGCCTAGACACCGGGACCACATGAGGTGCGCATATTCATCTATATCTCCCTTCTTTGTAATAGTCGAGGCCGACTTGATCCAATCCGCCATCTCCGTATCGGGTGCTGGGTACGCTCCGGAAACTCATCGGATGGCTTTTCCTCCGTGATCAAGGTTTGGTGATGAGTAGAGCTCCGACCCTACCATCTGATCTGATCGTGGTTAGCTTCATGATAATGGTGATAGGGGAATGTGTTGAGAGATGAAGACGATACAGACCGCGAAAGCGATTGGGAATCCTCTTCGAAGTGAGGACTTTGTTACTCAATCTCGGCTCTGCAGACTCTACAGTGAGAGCAGGAGGTTCGTAGGGGACACCGCTGACAGGTGTTGAGAATAGTCCCCCACTATCAGAGTTAATTGGGCTACATTACAAATTTTTAGAGCGACTTGGAACAAACTCACCGAGCGATGACTTACACTGGGATAGTAAATGATGAGCATCAACATGTTTACTTCATTGCCCATTATTCGTGGGTCTGACTTCAATTAATTATTTCCCTTTATCCTGTGGCGTGGTTTACTAATCCATGATAATGAATAGAAATTTTGAGTCAGGTCTAACTGAAGAAAGAAAGTATATAAATGGTAATATAATGCGACAAAAAGTAAAAATGACGCTGAAAGGCTTTACTGCACCGATTATATTTCTATCAGCCAGGTTAGAACGCGTGCCATTTATCTTACGAAAGTCAGCAAAGATCACACGCCATGCAAGAGATCTATAATTTCTTTTGGATAACTGAGGTCTGGTTGTCAACTCCAAAAAAGTCTCTCGTGTGACCGGTCGATGAGCTGTAGTAAAAGCATAGCTCCAATACACATATCATGATATTCAGCGATCTCCAAACCCACCATCAGCCACTAGTTGAGATACGGCTGATAGATATCTTGACCAATCGTGATATTTCAACCAAAAAAAAATTGCGTAGAATAGCTCACAAGTTTCACTTGGATCGGGTCCTGTATTCGGCAAATTTTGGCTCATTGGCTACGAAACCGTCCTCAAAAAATGTTATTTTGTAGCAAGCAGCAGTTCATACAAGCGTTACTTTTCTCTTAAAAGTATATCCTTTCTCCAGTCCAGTAAAATTGCCGAATATAATTTCCCGCACTGGAAGTCTGAGATCTAATCAAAAGTATCACATGAATTTGCATAGTAGGTTTAGGAATATCTGCTTGTATGTGACACAGCAGTGATCGTCTCCGGCAAATATGTAAACATCTCAGGAAAAGTATCGACTAGTGGCACGGAATTGAGCAAGTTGTGCCTACTCTCCTCCAATCGATAGATTTACAGCAAAAAATTGATTGGAGACAGTTAGGGTGTCGCAAAATTCAGATTAAAAAAGCTCACAGACCCGTGTATCCCTATGGTTTTCACCAACATGAACCCGGTCGTCTAGTCACTTGGAGAATTGGGTTGCGCTACGTGGTCTACCGGAAAGCCTAATGCGCCACACACACTCAACCCCTAAGATCAACTTCTAATGCAGCTAAGGCCTGATAATAGCAATTTCAGCGAATATTGGCCCATATTTAGAAACTACAGCTTTGGAACTAGAACTAGACTGATTTAATGTACAACAATCAAAAGATGACTTTGTCGATTAACTTCATTCTCATATCCGTCTTGATCAGTTACCTTTTCATCCGATCCTCTCAAGTTAGATGAGGACTTTTAATATACGAGGTAATGGGTCACATAACACTATAATCATCAGGCTGGTCACTGTAGCTATGCGACTTCGTTTACTTCCCAAGCAGTTATCTGGGTTGGATGTTTCTATTTAAATATATCTTACCAGTGTTGAAACTAAAGTCGTCCAACGCGCTAGCATCTAATTCACCCTTTAAGATGATATGGCTACGGACCATGTCGGGTCGATCCGTGCCGAGCCTGTAATTTCACCGACAAGCTCGACTTCCTGGGTAAGCTTGGCCCAACTAAGAGGTGAATTAGTCAGGGTCTCCAGCTGTCAATCAAGGGCCTATCTTTCGTTTGAATATGTAAACGGGAGTGAATTCAAATTTCTCTAATTTCGAAAAACCAGTCTAACAATGTGGAGCGTGAACCGTGTAAACATACGTCATAAACATATCCACAGAGTGGTAGGGGTAACGTTTGCGAATTCAAGGTTGAACCAACAAGGCTACGATCAAACCCATCGTTGAAAGTATCCTTAGACCCTTCTCGTAAGGTATAATATCAAGCCACAAGTTTCTGCCAACTGGTCTGCTCATTTAACATTTCATATTCATTCAAGCACAGGTATCAATAGGTGGAGACGATCTACTTTTTAACTAAGCTCATCATGGCAGACACCAAGACCGAAAGAACTACAACATGCTCAGAGGTTCAGTCCCAAGTCCCTTGGAATTCAGGTAAAGCTCCTTGATCTTTTCGCGACGCTGCAAGTAAATTCTAAACTGTGAGAAGATTCAATCAACGGCACTCAGAAGCTATGGCTTGTTGAAGATGTTGCAGCGAAACTAACAGGTGGACCCCCAATTGAAGGCTCCAAGTCTCCTATTCCATTCTTTCATATCCTGGAACGTTTGAAGACGACCCCGCGGGCAGGTTGGCGACGATTTGGAGTCACTCAGTCAGCCTCTGCCTTCTCAGTGTATCGAATTTTGACTAAGAGTTAACTTAGGGGGGAATCCATCTCCGACCATATGTACAGGATGGCTATGATGACTTTATTTGCTCCTAAATCCCTCGCTGGAAAAATTGACACAGCACGCTGCACTAAAATGGCTTTACTCCATGACATAGCTGAGGCGATGGTGGGAGATATAACCCCAGTCGAGGGAATTCCAAAAACAGAAAAAAACCGTCGCGAATCCACTACCATGGATTATTTGACCAAAAATGTACTCGGAAATGTTGACGATGGAAAGGTTGCAGAAGAGATGAGAGAGATATGGCAAGAATATGAAGATGCAGAAACGCTCGAAAGCAAGTTCGTACATGATATAGACAAGATTGAACTCATCCTTCAAATGGTAGAATACGAACGTGCAAACGCCTGCAAAATAGATTTGGGCGAATTTTCATGGGTGACATGCAGGATTCTTATCCCGGAAATGAAGGAATGGACCAGAACTATCATAGAAGAGCGGGAGGAACTCTGGGCTGGAAGTGAACATGTCTCATACACTGCCATTGAGGACCCAGGTAACCATTCAACCCTTAGCCATCAAAATCTTACCGCTAACGAATAATTTAGACGTAGTTGTTGCGACTATGCTTGCTAAAAACGTTGGGCGTCTAGATAGAGACGCAGTGCACACCAATGAACGTAAGACTGTACAAGATTTAGATGGCAGTGAACATCAAACTAATTCAAAGCCTGAGTAAAGCTTACTAGCAAGCTTCTTAAGTCTTGTGTCATTAACTGTCTATACGTATACTACTAATGTGGGGATCAAATGTGTATTTTGTCCTCTTGCATCATTCTGGGTAATGTAAGTGGAAGTTTTCATACTCTTTTAGATGAATAGAAAAGGCCTAAATATGCATAAGTATGGCAACTATCTGGCTTGGATAACTTGATAACGGTGGATTTGTTTTTATTATTATCAGTCGATAGAACCCGATGAAGGGACAATGGGAAGCAGCTGGTTTACTAGATTCTGTGAGCCTGAAATTTACGAAAAAGCTGTATGGTAATTCAACTATGTGGGATTGGATGCAATAAGTACTATGGTTAATGTATCAGAAATACGCCTCATTCCGTCGTGAACATCATTCAAATGGATGATTCAGATCAATACCTGGATTTCGGTGACAACTTCCCACATGACTGTTCGTCAATGCCCCTTGGCGTTTATTCTCACAAAATTCTTATCCAATTTGGCATAGGAATTAGGCTTACTCAGTCACCGCAAATGAGCCTTGAGTTGAGTTAGTGGTACTGTGGAGTGGTTATATAACCTCTATTTTGTGCTAATGTCCACTCACATTCAGAATTTTGGGGCCTACAAATTCATCAAGACTAAATTTGTGTTAATTTGAGCAGTATTCACTGTTTTGCAAAGAGTATCCCTTTACACCTTTAGTCCCTCTACCTTTTCTTTTACAGCTCATGTACAATAGCAAATTTCGCTTTGTCGGATTTTTACACAAAGAGAGTGTCCCTAGCCAAAATACGATTTGATAGGAGAGGAAGTCATTGTTGGACTGCACCGGGTAATCCTAGCAGATAAGATATGGGTTTGATGATATGCAGAGCGCGACTGACGCGAAGGAATGAAGTGCTTATTGGTTCAGTTCTCATTGCCTCGGAAACCTACGCGATATCCATTTCAAGCTTTGATTGCTTGTCATCGTTAGAACATTTTTCCTCTAAGTGCTTGGTAATCCGTGCGTTCAGCTGGACAAACCTTATCAGCGGTCTCCAGGCCAAACATCCTCTTATGAGCGTAATACTATTGCCTTGAGTGAATAAATCATCCTACACTAAAGATACTTGGAGACGTATCACCAGTACAAATTGCGATCAGATTATCCGACAGCAATCCTTCGACTGACAACCATGGCAACGAACCATCGAGAGAAACGAAATGTAATTCAGCCTTGTGTTTTCCAAGCGCCCCTCAATCTCAGCCTCGAAGACCAATCAAATGTCTAAGGGAGGGCAGTGATTCCACTATATTCGCCACCGGCGATCAACGTTTCACCTCATCCTCTTCCAATATCATGACATGACCGCCATCTCTCAACCCCATATCACCTCAAGCCATCCGATGAATAAGACAGGTAGCCAGCTTCACAACAAAAAACAAGACTATATCAATTTAAGACTTTTTTCTAAATCATCACTGGCACCTAAGATTATACCTCGCAAAAGTACCACAGCAGTGACCGAAATGAATAATTTCAACGCAAGCAGAGACTTAACATCCAAACTCACAGCACGCAAGAGAAATCTATCAGAGTTCAACAATACAGTAACATCGCCGGTAGATAGAACCGGAAATGGGTGCGAAATTAGATCAGAATGGATGCGAGGCCGACCCAACGCTAGAAATCAATCTTCATCTTGGAGGGAAGAAACTGTACCAAGCATTGATATCTCACCTGATAAAAATGAAGAATTAGGCGATGGCAAACTATTTAGTGATCTTCCCTCACCAAACCTATCGGCTTGTCGGATAGTCTCGCTCAAGAATTCTAATACGGATATGCAAGAAAGATGGAGTAGTTTTGCAATTCAAGCAGTTCACGCGGTCGCTGAAAAAGCTTGGGAGTTTTGCAAAAATAGCGCTGCATTGTTCAGTGGGTTTCATGCTGGTGGTGGGACTAAATATAAGTTTAAAAGCGGTCAAGGTATGGAAGCCCGATTTGAAGCTGTTGAATCGTCGGTTTGGCCTGGAGAGTGGCACATGATAAATGCTGTAACTCCTAACCCAAAGCTGCACGATCCCAAGAATCGATCTTCTTCGAGAGAGAGCACGCCGGTCAGGTCATCTAAACGATGTCAAATTCATCCTAATAAAGATAGCTCGCTGGAAAAAAACTGGGTCGTGATTCCGCCTATGACCAGCTCGCCTCATCACACGCGTGCACGTGCTGAAAGGAATAAATCTTTAACCCCATCAACAACACGTCTGTCGAATCCTAAAAGCCATTCGGCCCCGTCTTCAAGACTTGCAACTCGACCTCCTCCTATTTTGCAATATGCTCATCAACCAAAACCTCGCGTATCCTATGCAAGCTCAGCCTCCCTGAAATCACCAGAACGGGCGTCTTTTGCGTCTCCGCGCCCGTCCGGAACTAAGACTATGTGTCAAGATATGCCAGCCTCCCCAGCTCACCAACAAAAAAAGAGCCACTTAATCTCTCCCGAGAAAACCTTATGTGACACCCAGCGTGAAGCACAGCAATGGGCTGCCATGATCGAGAAAGATGAGCAGCAACAAGATGATAGTCTCCGCCGACTGGAATCACGCTTAAAAACTATGATTCGAGAAGGAAAAGCGGCCCTAGGTACAAAAATCGAGATGAACTCGAAAACTAGTGGAAGATCAGAACCACGAAATTTACTGTGACAGAAAGTGCGACGAGTGAAAATGAACTTTGCACGATCTAGGGAACTGCATTTTAGGCTATAATATGTAATTTTTCTAATTATGGGTGTTATTGGGTAGGCGAATGAGTAGCTGGGTGATTTATATATAACAAATCCACCTCGTCAAGCTCAAGGCAAGTAAGACCTGGCATAGGGAGTTAAATTATCTCGGGAGGTGGGACAAGGAGGAGTTTAGCTACGACTCTAATGTGATAGAGATAGTTCAGTTCGTTTTTCCGTGAAAATATAGGCCAATCCTCTAGTCCTCATAATGATATCTTCTACATGAGTCAGGCTGGAATATTTCTTTAGCACAGAGATTTAGCCGAGCTACTTGTTGCCATCTCAAGACCAGCTGACTAGTACGCAATTCTAGTTGATGTTTTGCTTAAAGCATCGTTAGGCGTGGTTAGCAGCGGGACTATTCTCAACACCTGTCAGTGATGTTCTCTACGAACCTCCAGCTCTCACTGTAGATTCTGCAGGGCCGAGATTGAGCGATATCCTCCTCACTTCAATGAGAGTTCCCAATCTCTTTCGCGGTCCGTGTCGTGTTCATCTCTAAGCACTATCTCCATAGCACCTCTATTTTGAAGCTAACCACGATCAGATCAAATGGTAGGATCGAAGCCCTTTTCATCACAGTTGGGTTAGTTATTCAGATCTGAATAGGTGGACTGGGTGAAAATCGATGGTTGATTATTACTTAACCAAATCCCTAATGATTGCGGCTTTGTTGATAGATTGGATTACAAATAAATAGCTGCCTAAGGCATACTAAGCATCTACTCTACAATATGTTACAGCTATACTACATATTCACAAGTAAGTGATGACAACATCACCAACCCTTGATCATGGAGGAAAAGCCATCCCATGAGTTTCTGGAGTGGATCCAGCATCCGACACGGAGATGGTGGATTGGATCAAGTCGGCCTTGACTGTTACAAGGAAGGGAGATATAGATGAATATGCGCACCTCATGTGGTCCCTGTGTCTAGGCCTCGCCTGGCTGGTTCTACAGGTTTTTTGAGAATTTTTATAATTTTTTGGTAGAAGGTTCCGTAGAAAAAGTGACCGAATTCTATGGATAAACACTGAGCTGAATGGCTACTCATCACGGGCAATGCATCAATGATTTTTCAAGTAACAAAGAGGCAAGGATCAATGTACAAGGTTTGGCCGGGGTCAGGAAGGAGCCCGATGTGCCTGGTAGTCATAGACTCGAGTAGCACAATAACTCAGACAAGCATGGTCAGGTGTTTGAAGGAAATACACAGTTCTAGCACGTTCGGAACTTGGCAGCCATGTAGCTCAAGACTTATTTTTATTTATTTATATTTTACATCTTACAAGCTCAAGACTCTTAGAGCATCGACTTTACCCTCGTCTCATTAGAATCTTGGATGGCGGGCACTATCCCATGAACACACTAGTGGCCTTCCAGACCAGCCGGGAAGTTCCCACCGATTCCACGCAGATAGCTCTAGCAAGGTCTTTCACTCTCGGCTAGAATGAATTGCTAGGGAATTATAAACTGATACTCGTTGGATCCCTCGTTCGCGTGGCATCAAAAAGAGAAATTACCGACTACATTCGGCGCGCAGAGAGAGGAGATTGAGCGATTAGGTGGTGGACCTTGAATCCGACTCCTGACGAGAGGATAAGAAGAGCTTCTGCACAAAAGTATCGTGGGTGCAAGGGGCGCCAATCTACTGAGATACCATATTAACTAACGCAAAGCCTATGTCAAGAGTCACTCAGAAGTTTTCACGTATCGACAAGAACACTTTCATGTATGGAACTTATTTCCTGGCAAGTGTAGGGAGGTCGGCCTTAACGGTGCTATGGAATAATGTGGCCAAGGTCTACGGACCTCTACGGGCCAAACCTCGAGATAAAGAAAACAACTGCAGGCCTCATGCCCCTTTCAGGGCTACAGCCGTAAGACGAGTTTTATTTGTGGCCAAGATTACATCTGATATGGACGGCTAGCCACTAGATTCAACTTGAAAATTACTCACAGCAGAGGAGCAAAGTCTTCGAAGCGGCGTGGTAGATTATCTGATACATGTTGGGAAAAATGAACAGACCTATCATCAGAATATTCATTAAATTCAGGCTTTGGGTAGCCCGTCACATTTTTAGATTCAGCGTCGAGTTTAATTGAGAACGTCGACATCCTCAACTTCCGAGCCGCACGAGACCAACTCCTCACTCCACCAGGGTAGGCGGTGACTTGAGAGTGTTGTACAATGTAAGATCCTACCGATTTCGCAGCTATGGCCTCCCGTTGACGAGTGAGTGAGCAAGCTCAGAGTTGGGTTGGCAGGGACGATCTTCCCACCTTCCAGCGGTGTCGATGTGAACACTCTGCATGCTCTACATATCTCGAATAGTCAGGAGGAATTGCATCTGGATCGAGTTCGAAAGTGTTCGGATTAGGTCCTGGTCAACGATGTCTAGCCTAATTATGCTATGTTGCAGGCTACTGTTACAATTATTCATGTGGTCATGATCAGGGTTGTGAGTAGTTTCGGTTTCGGTGTGGGTTTTTAGATTGATACCTAAGCGTGTCGCATAATAGTCAGACATGCGACTCGAGTAGCATATGCACGGTAGACCTCAAACCCAAAATGATGATACGAATCAGGCTTTACATGCTACGTCCTGTATGGCTAGCGTGGTTTGAATATGGGGAATTTACCTGTAGATAGATAAAGACGTTGTAGCCCTCTGATAGTTGGGACAAGTCTTTTACAATATTATATCGGAATCAATACTAGCCTCTCATTAAGCAATCTCATGAATTTTTTCCAATGTCTGTGATAACAGACATACATATACAATATCGACAACAAGTTTTAATGTCGATAAGAAAGTAAATGCAAGCACATCTACTGCCAACAGCTTGTCCTCAATATCCGCCCTACTCTTCTCCCGAGTCCTCCAACTCATACTACTATAAAACATATCGCCTCAGCGACGGGTCGAGCAGCTCCTCTCATTGCAAACGGTAGTTTGCCTCATAGATCATCGGCTACCTTCGGCCGTGAATTTACGATTCTACGTATGTCCCCAAGAGGTAGAAATCACTATACACAAAGCTTGTGTCTTGGCTTATCAGAAATCGCCACTCCAATGAGACTTTACGGTTCCAGGGTGGCCATGCTGGGACTGAGCTTTATAGAGAACTCTTTGAATGAGAGTGTTGGTGGGCACCAAGAAAAATCTTTCGGGCAGGGCTACCGAAACTCCAAAAACAGAGCGCACCACATTTACTCTGGTCGATGAAGGAATGAGAAAATAACTCTGGTTAATGAGGCAGCTACATAGCTATGACATATAAGTGCTATGTACACATGCTCGACGACTCTTATGAAGTTTTAATCTCTCACGTTCAGATTTCATTTGTAGATGCTACTCGAGGTAAGCCATACGGTTTGAAGCTTCTTCTGTGCGTACCCGGCACAGGGAAAAGTGTGAAACCCTCTGGTTATACGAGTATGCTTTTATCACTGCAATTACGACTTCATCACGAGAGAATGTGGTGAATGAGTCTAACTACAATCGAACCAGCCCTCTCCTGTCTTAAGTGGAGTAGGTGTTGAAACTACCCTGAATCTACGTGAGCGAGAATCTCGGTTGATACACTATTGCACTATCTAGTCATGACAGTGTTTGTAGCGTCATCTACTCTCTCTAAATCAAAATCATGGCGCAGAGAGTGCTATTACATGTCAAAACTCCTTCCCAACAGTCGGAATCTTACCCATTGTAATAGTATACCCATCACTTGCATCATCTTGTCTACATATCCTGATATCTCTCACTAGCATCCCGAAGGCCTGCGCCCCAGCTTTGCCTCGTTCGCGTTTGAATATCAGCGTGGGCGTTATTTTGGAGGCCATCTAAGACCAGCGACTGATTTGATGAAATGTGTAGTCATTGAGAGTATACTAGCCCGTACTCGAAGCTTTTGCGGGGATCGATCTCGTGGGGAATGAGAGACTGGTTAGGTAGGGGTGCTTGAATCATTGCCCCGTGGACGAATTTGTCCAGTTATGCGGAATTTGGCTGGATTTGACTCTGGGAGAACATTTCACTCCAGCTCTTGGAGAATGAAGCGTAAGGGTGTTCAGTTTACATCCTCACGGCTTAGAGAGCGTCTTTTCTGGCAACATTATCTATTGAAAGGGCGCAGCATGGATGTGATCTAACAACCACTCCATGTATGTGTTTGTTTATTGCGCTACTTCAATCAATGATTATCCAGCACGCTAGGCTCCTCCCCGACCCAGGCCACACTTTGTACAGTACTCCTGGCCTCTCATACTACTTGAAAGATCATTGGTATATTGCCCGTGATGAGTAGCCATTCAGCTCAGTGTTTATCCGTGTAATTCGGCCACCTTTTCCACGGAACCTTCTACCCAAAAAATTAGCAAAATAGCAATAGAAACTGCGTGCGCGGGAAAAAGTCTCAAATAACCTGCAGCCCCAGCCAGGCGAGGCCTAGACATCGGGACCACATGAGGTGCGCATATTCATCCATATCTCCCTTCTTTGTAACAGTTGAAGTCGACTTGATCCAATCCACCATATCCGTATCGGGTGCTGGGTACGCTCCGGAAACTCATCGGATGGCTTCTCCTCCATGATCAAGAGTTGGTGATGAGTAGGACTTCGACCCTACCATCTGATCTGATCACACTTCATGATAATGGTGATAGGGGAATGTGTTGAGAGATGAAGACGAGACAGACCGCGGAGCGATTGGGTATCCTCGTCGAAGTGAGGACTTTGTTACTCAATCTCGGCTCTGCAGACTCTACAGTGAGAGCAGGAGGTTCGTAGGGGACACCACTGACAAGTGTTGAGAATAGTCCCCTGCCCTATACTAGCATCTAGAGCCACACACGGTGAAAGCCTCGGCCATTTACTATTCAGTCTAACTTGAAAGACTTGACGCACATGATAGCCCCGCCAATCATTGCTCAGTAAGCCTCGTAACACCCGGACTGCATTTTATTGCCACTGATGAATATAGCGTCAGAGTCAGACGAAAAGGCCTCAACAAATGAAGCCTATTGCTCACACAAGTCTGCGATTATTTGTTTGTTTTATTTTCCGAGATTAGGAGAAGTAGAGGTGAAAGGAAGGCAGCTCTAATTTAGAGACGTAAATAGTAGGCCAGGTCGAAAGAGGGTGTAATTAGAGACAGGCAGAAAATTTGTTCTGACGTGTATGTACGTCATCTGACCTAGGGCCAGGTTCAGCTCTCTAATCATTTTGGAACAAATTTTACTGGCCGTTTTAGAAACCACAAAGATTTTGTTTGAATTTATCTGATTGAGGGATTCTAGGCTTTTACAGAACACTACGGTTAGATACAACCATATTGTGAGCTTGTAAGATCTGTTGATTAGCTGCCAAAAGGACGGACACATTCAGCGACACAGTGAAGGATTTAGTTTATGAATTTCATTTAGAAAAGGCCTCAGTAACTATGAAGTAAAAGATATGAGATCTTTCTGTTAATTATCATCGTCGACCAATTAGTAAATGAGGAATTAAGATTGCAAAATCTTTGATGCTTGTTAGCTTGGGGTTGGAACATTTTAGCCACGGATATATTAAGGTTTAACTATTAGTATGGCAGCTCAAGTTCCACGGGTGCGTCTTCTGTCCCAGGAATTCAGAGAATTAGATTTATATTCTCAGCTATGAAGCAAATTATTTTAGACTTCCTGTGCCTTGGTTCCTCCCACAACCTCAGGAACCTTGTTAGGATCGAAGCCATTAGATTCCTTTAACTCCTCTATGAGTTTGATGTACTTTTCTTCCGCTTCCTTCTGACTGTATTGCGACACTTCTCTCCAGGCCTTCCGTTTTGCCTTGCCCTGATAGATTTTATTCGTTAGTGTTTGTGATGCCCAAGGGTTGACGGAAATCAGGCTACATACCTTTAAATCAAAGGTACCAGGGGCTGGTGCTTTCTCAATGTCTTCACCCGAAGCCACCTTAAATAAACCTATATTTGCACTGATAAGTAATAATTCATTGATTCAAAGATTATTGCGATTTAACGAACCGTACATGTAGAGCAGTTTATCGTTACTGAGGGGAATGGTCAATTGCTTGGATTCTTTCGCAGCTTTCTCAAACGGGGTCAGTTCGGTTTCAACCATGCTGGGCAACTGTTAAAGGATGAATTGGCGGAAATGAAGTAGAAGAAAGATGATGGTCAGAGGTCAACTTTCTAGATGCACTCTATACTTGTTGGGAGGGGCTGGGCTATGGATTAATGAAGTTCCGGCGGGGTCGGAAAAAGAAATAATTGTGCCCGAATATTTGGCCGCATCTAGCTGTGATTAGCCGTTCGAACTGGCCGTGATAAATTGAAGGTGTGCTGATCATCCTTTGATCATGAGATAGGGGACAACTACTCTAAGCCTGGCAGAACTTCACTGTGCTTGTGGGTCATGTTAGCATGCCACATGGAAACAAGATATGCATCTCCAAATCTCACACAACTTGTCATATGGACCATGGCGTTTGGGCGTGGTGAAAATTTGTAGCGCAACATGCCTCATAGTAACTTGTACGAATAGCATGCGGCGTTTGATAATCTTTTCACCATGTACGTGATGGTGAACTGTCATATGGCTTACGAGATAGGCTCCTACCATTAAATCTAAGCAACGTCATGGAGGTAAAACCCCTTGTAATCGCTTATGATCAAACATCAATCGAGGGGGACTATTCTCAACACCTGTCGGTGGTGTCCCCCACGAACCTCCAGCTCTCACTGTAGAGTCTGCAGAGCCAAGATTGAGTAACACCCTATCAACTTTGAGCTGAGTTATCTCCCCCTCCGTCAAAGATACGCTTCCGATAACACATAAGACGACAAAGACGACGATAGTGATGCTGGAGTGGGGAGAGATAATGCGGTATCAAACGTACAACGGTATTCAGAGAAGCCCTCGTTATATCACAACATGTGCTACCCACCAGCGGGCGAACAAAAAGCCCACGAAAGCAAAGTAAAAGACCCTTCCGCTCTCAAGAAAAGCAGATTTCGACTCGTCTACATTATCGTCCCTACTAATCATAACTTCCGAATCTACTAGCCAGGAGGGCATCTGAAATACATGAGTTACTCGACGACCCCACGTCCGTAACGACTTTGGATGCTAGGCTAGGCTCCTTCACGACAGTCGCTCTCGACCAAGACTTTTCTGGCATCTTTTCACGAACTTGGATTTGTCCTGCGGCATGAATCAGGGGAGGAGTAAGGAGGAGGCTAGGAAGGTTGAGAGACGCTCTTAGATATTTACAGGTCTGCTGCGCCCGGCTGGCCGGCCTCTTCGTCATAGGAGAGCCCCACACCCAGTGGTTTTTGAGACTTTTCCCTGCAGCTACACACCCGCAAATGGCCATCGTTTCGTTGGCTGGAGAGGGGAGATAATGACGGGATAACGGCTCCTCTTAGTGTGTACTCGAATAAAGGCCTGTGGGGGTATTACTGCTGGAAAGAAGTCGTGAGGGAGGCAAAGGAGGGAGTACACTACCCGAGGCAGAGATACTCCTGGCCTGTAGGCAGAAATGACCTACATGTCCTTACATAGTCATAGACTTTTTAGGACAATAAAAACTCATTCATTCAAACATCAATCGAAAACCGTTAGACTCCGAGTTGGACAATCTATTCAGCCATACCAAAGAATTCCAAAAAATCCCGACTTCCTACGTTTTCGTAGCTCCTGTGCGTCTACAGTTCAATTTATCAAGATTTTATGGGGATTTATAGTGGAGAGCAACGACTGAACAACTATACGCATTATCCTCTATGAACGTAGGAGTGAAATATACTCTCTGAGCAAGTTTGGTCAAAATTCGCAAAACCGAGCAAGTTAGCCTACGAGGCAATGATTTATTTATCCTAACCTTGTCAATATCCCGCTCCCAAAAAGGTCGATTCCGGTGAAAGCCTCATCGGGTCTGCAAGTACGACCTAGTGCATCCTTAATTCAATAAGTACGCCGCTCTTCGAATCAGTCTCTGGCCTCAAATGGCCTCCAAATATACAGTAACAAGAATATGGATTCCCTCTAGAGGTGACAAATTGTGGTGCAAAAATCTGGTCGGCAGAACTTTGGGATGGGCGTGAGAGAGACCTAGATAAGTGGACAAGATAATGCAATAGGTGAGTGAGATCTCTGAAAGGGTAGGATTTCCAAATTGGCAACGAGTTTCACAAGTTGAGCTTTGTGCGTACCAAGTCTTCGGTTGCGACAGTGCAGGCGACACTATAAACACCGCCACAGTTGGATGGTGTGGTGATACAGCGTCTTGGCCGGTCTGCTAAGTAAAGTCTGGATAGCTTGGACACATATCCCACTCGAGAAAGTAGATCGCTGGTTCAAATCCAGCAAAACACAACCATATTTCTCGCGGCGCTAGTATTCATGGATGACGAAGGCATGCTTGGATAACCAAAGGTTTTGAGATTCCCTTTGGTGGGTACTAACGGAGGAGGGTCGACTGTTTGTGTAAGCAAACATACCTCAAAGTAGTATTTGCGAATGAAATCCAGAGTACGAGTGCCTCTAACGTCAAAAGAGTCATCCTATATGTATACAAAGCACCGGTCATTTGTCATAGCTCTATAGCTCTATAGCTAAATACACATTAAATGATTTAAAAAAAAGGACATCAGGTTCTGTCATGTAGAGACATGATTCATTCATGAGTTGATATTGTTTAGACGATTATGACTATATCACAACGTCATGTACAGACACGATCAATCGTTTGTACCTACTGTATCAACCATGACTATGTCTCAGTGATATGAGAAACATCATTGACTAGTTACTAGAAACCTAATCAAGATCCTAAACACACAACTGAGACTAGGAGAATTTTACTGAGTAAGTAATTATTCTGATGAATCTAGATTTCTAGGAACATAATCTGGTTGCTTGGCTCGAGGAATGTGAACCTGAGTATATCATGTATAATAAACAATATAGAAATCTATCTCAATCAGAATCATCATCTTAATTCATGTCACCATCAATAGCTGCAAAGGACAGTTTAACCATTTCCTTATAGGTTCTATTTCTTGACAAATTTTTCGCTAGCCAAAACGACTTGCCATCTTTATCGTTCTGTAAAATTTTCACGTAACTAGGAGCCTGACCTGTGAGAGGGAAAGACAGCCTGCGGCTCCATATAAAGATTACTGGCTCCGAATATAATAGACAACCTATGTGGGAATTCTCAGTTTCCAATTTTGTCCCGACACATTTCCCTGTTCAATTTCTTCAGTGTATATTCTTAGCTTTCGACAAAATGGTAAACCGGAAAGAGCGTTGCTAAAGAACTGATCAATCAACCAACCGCCATAGCAACCTCGGACCTATTTTAATAGGACCGCTAACTTCCAATGAAGCAAAACTTATCTACTTTCATTTTGTAGTCAAGGCAGGCACAATTTTTGTAAGTGATGGCATGCATATATGAAAGAACAATTTGTCAGGCTAACTTCTAGATTCGTTCTCGTCCCAAAGAATTCTTTCTTTATGTAATTATCTTAGTGAAAGCAAACTCAACTCCTGTTAGTGGTGTCCTGTTACAGCGTGCCGTGGGTTAGATCAAGATCGCCGTTCGCCGAGGGTATGGAGATTCCAGGTGGTGAATGCAAGAGAGATGGAAAGTCGACGAAGAACTAAGACTATAAGGAAGCGGGATTGCGAGAGGAGTGCTATTATAATATTATAAGATTCTGAAGCTAGAGAACTACTTTGTTGTAGCTCCAGCTTCCTTAAGTACAAATCACTATCTAACACAATTCAACTAAGACTATAGCAATATCTCATCATAACTCAAACTGTGACCTCAATTTCACGGATCCGTAAATAGAATTTTAATACTAATATTAATTCGTGATAAGATGAAGGGGTAGTTAATTAAAACCATCAATTTAATAATAGCTTCCCCTATACAATTAGTCATGTAAAACGTCATGTAAGGATATACAAGGGAGTAATGAAGAGAAGGACAAGAACACAGCCATCAATGCGAAGATATTGGCAAGAATTGATTACGATTAATTCCGGTTGGCAAATGCTTCTACTCTTGTATATAATAGTTCAGCGTGAGAGAGATTTACTCCTCACGCAACGTCTTCTTTACTTATCCTTTACAATACGTTTGTTTACCCATCTCTTCTTCGGGAAGACCATATATCCATTGCCCAGTTCTTCATCAGCAAGACCCACGTGTAACACCTACTGCAACTAGTTGCCCATTCATCTCTTCCTAGAGAAGACCTGTCATTCCTTTGACCCATTTATAACCTTCACTTACCACCTAGATCTTCACTAGGCTGTACAACGCACCCCGTGGAACACTATCAAACCCTCATCCTTGAGACTCAATCATATCGATTCCAGTCGGTGCATTATCTGGTCTCACCATATAAGCGTTGAGGGTAAGCCGAAAGGCCTGTTCCATGAACTTTATCAACAGACCCTCTGCTTAGACTGTGGTTCAAGAATGTCTCGCCGTGACATGTCACCCACGAGCCTCCAGCTCTCACTGTAGAGTCTGCAGAGGCGAAACTGCAGTTTGAAGAGCCATCCTCAATTAGAGTCGACTTTTGTACCTTAAGTAAAAGGAGTGAGAGGGGTGATCCTCGAGAGAAACTGCACTCAACAAGTGTCACAAAGCATCTGTGGGATGTCGCGTCGCACCCAGTCAACCGAGTCGTGACGTGCATACTGCCAGGAATGCCTACTGTATAATTTATATATTTGGATATAAGTTGATATTAGTATCAGCTGAATTCGGCCTAGCCCTTGGCCGAATGGTATGAACATGCATCGTGAGTACTGTAGGACGGTAAAATTTTGCTTGACTTCTTTATCTTATTCTTTGCCTTTGCTCCGCTGTCTCCTTGCCGCTTCTGATATGTACTCTGACGTAATTTAAGAAAAATAATGGTTGTCGAAGTATTAGTTACTGAGCCTTAGAATACATGTGACTTGATTTATAAGCTGGGCTAAACTAGGGTCTATAGAATGTATAGTAAATGTAGAACTCAATAGTTAGCACAATAATATACGCAATAAGCTTTAGGCATTTACCAGCAGTACAGTTTTCTAAGAACATCTTCCCT